TGTTTACAACATTAACCATAATCTATGTTACTTAGAAAATATTATTGAACAATATGAATCTTTATCAATGAAAAATTTATTAAAAATCTTTAAACTTGATTAATAAAAACCGATGAATGATCATTAAAGTTCAAAATAAATCAGCACATATACATATATAATACACTAACACATTATACTAAAGTTATTTGGGTTTATCTTAAAGGTAATAAAAAAAAAAACAAAGAAGGAGGAAATAAAGACCCCATAACAGAGAGAAAGGAAGGTAAAGGTTTGATAGGTTAATATAAAAGTGCAGAAACGTGCTTGTAACGTTTAGTTATATCTAAGAAATATACTAAATGAAGGATTGAATGAGGGGATGTGAAGAGAAGAGGAGGGAGTTGATATCAGATTGGGTGTTTGAAAATCGATGAAGTAAAACTGACCTTTCTCTCTGTGAACTGCTCGAACAAGGGACCAGAATCTTTCCCATACCATTGAACTTTCCCTTAGGTGGTTCGCATAAGTTTCCCGAGGATTGTGTTCTACGACCAGTTAGGCCTTTGCCATTGTGTCTGCTGAGATTTGAGCCCATTTCGTTGATCGATTCCTTTTCCTCTTCTTCTTCTTCGTTTTCTTTTTGATTTTCCTCACCTTGGCCCCCCACCACCTCCTTCTCTTCCTGTTCTTCTTCTGACACCTCTTCTTCTTCCCCTTTTTCTTGATCCTTTTTATCAAAAACCTTTCCCTTTTTATTATTACAGTTATTAGAAGGGATAAGATTCAATGCATTTCCAGGTGTGGTGTTCTCCTTGTTCGGCCAATCAAAGTACTTGCCGATATCCTTGGCATTGACCTTGCAAGATATCAACGGTGGGGGTGGTGGGACCGGGGGACTCGGACGTGTTCGTTTATTCACCGTTTGCAATTGTCCACGACGTTGTTGTTGCTGTTGTTGTTGGTGTTGTTGTTGGTGTTGCTGTTGTTGTTGCACCTTCCAACTTTCCTGTTGTTGTCCTCCGTTCGACGGAGACACTGTTACCAATTCCTCACCTGTAACAGTATCATTACTTTACTTTTACTATGAGAAATTTGAATTATTGTTTTAGATTTTTCCTTTATTTTTGTTTTTGTTACGAAATTTACACAACGAGATCAGAGATGATTTTTGATGATACTTTCAATGAACGCGATGATTCATTCCTTTTTCTTTTTACTTACACTTTTAACAAGATATTATTTTTTTCGTTGTGTTTTTATATTATTAGATTGGTCAACAAAAATTTGTACGAAAATTTGTGTAATAATCTGATGAAAATCAACGCTATGTTGAATAAATTTTTCTTTCTAATTACAAACGTATATATATATAGGTTAATAATATATTTGTATCATTGTCAGTGTTAATATTATTTTTCTTCTTTAATACAAAATTTGAACGATGTATGTATGTGTGTGTTTGTAGGAAGGATTCTTCTGATGTTCTTTTAGGTGAGAACGAGTTTTCCGGAAAGCTTTTCCTACCCAATTACATTCAAGCTCGTTGTTGTTCTCTAAGGTGTAATAAACACGAATGTATGTATATGAGTGGATATGAACAAGAATGAGAATGAGAAAGGGAAAACAGAGAGAGAGAGAGAGAGAGAGAGAGAATGTGTGTGTATTTGTACATGTATATGCTCGTGTGCACATGAGTATGCATTTGTACGTGTATATGTTCTTGTACACATGAGTATGCATTTGTACGTGTATTCTCGTGTGCATGTTTGTATGCATTTGTACGTGTA